ATCTGATCTTAGCCAAGTGCTGCCAACATTTGTTTCTAGTGATTTATGCTAATGTGACCTCCTTCCAACACAATGGGCAGATGATAGCAGGAACAGTAAGAAGACCAGGCTACTGTCCACAAATTGCCTGGTGAGATGGTCAGAATCCATCCAAGCACATTTTGATTACCCAACTGAACTGAAGAGTCTATGGGAGACTGATTTCTGGAGAGAACATTTCAGCATTTGTAGAAGGCAGTCACTGCATCTGAACTCCAGGGCAAACCTTTTGTGGAAAACAGTGGCTACAAGTCAAACATAGCATAGACGGGCATTCATTATATCTCTATAGGCTGTTCAGCAAGTGATCCTCACAGCCTCAGCCATTATTTCCATTCCATCTTGTCTCCTCTAAAATCTGGCAAGACAGTTGTGTTTCTGCCACACTTTCATGCACTGAATACAAATCTGTAGACTTTCTTCTTTACTTTCAGGTAGGCTTTTATAAAACACCAAATCCCAGAACATCAACAATCTCTTTTTCTCACTATCCCAAAGATAACCTTCAAAAAAGTATAAAATCTCTTTTACAATTCCAGTGAGAAACACACCTTTTCACTTAGAAAGGACAAAGACAACTGCGTTTTGGAAACGTTCTCTGGACACAGATTTCCCTTTACCCTTCAAATGCAAAACCAGACTGAGCAGATGACGCATCTTGAATTTGTAAGATTAAAACAAAAGACAGAAAAGAGAAATTGAAGATATTCTTCCAGTATGGTGTCATTTCTCCTCTTCATTCACATCCCTCCAATTTCAAACAACATAACTAGTGGTTTCAATAGGAACTGTAATTGCAGTATCCTCACAGACCCATGCAGGCAAAGAGCTGCAGTCTAGTTTTATTTTTCTTACACCCACGGAGAATTCTGTTTTGTTTCAACCTCTCATTACTCTCCCTCACTCACTTGGCTCCAAACATCAAATTCTGTCTCAGCCATTCAACATCTATTCCGTTGGGCTGCTTTTTTTCCTCTTACCATTACGCATACATATTGAACAGCTGGAACTAAGATAAGGCACAATTAATGATTCTGAAATTTTCCAAAGAAAATGTTTTCACTTTTCCCCAATTTGAAATTACTTTTTTGATTTGAAGGGAAAAAAAAAAAAGTGCCTCCCATAAAACCTTACATACACCTCAAAAACTAAATGGAACATTTTAGGTTAAACAAAGCTCTAATTTTTGAGACAGGAGGTTGGGTTAGGCGTGCTTGCTTTTATTTCTTAAAACACATGAAAAGCCTAAACAAAGCCTCTGCTGCATCTTGGTGTGAAACCAATTTCTTTTATTATCACATGGGAACCAGAATAGCAGAGGACCTCTAGCCCTCAAATACCTAACCAGTTACCAGCCCCAGTGAAAATCTGTTCTTGCTGTTTAGTCAAGATAAGCCAGAATGAAAGAATGACCCAGGAAAAGCAAGAGGCTAAAGGGCAATACCTGCTTCATACTCGCAAACTTAACAACTGGTGTTAGGGCAAATCAGGGTGAGTGGGACAAGGCAAAGAGCAGAGATTTCTAAGCACAACAGTGGTGGACAACAGTCAGGCGTGAGGGAACACTAGTACCAGGACAGAGCCTTGCTGAAGGTAGATGGGTCGGGATCCAACCATGGTTTTTGCTGAATATAGATGGGTCAGGATCTGGCCAGGGTTTTAACAGTCAATTCCACAATAAGTGGTCTGAATTACCTTCAGGCTAACCCCAGAAAAATCCCTGACTCAAAAATCCAAACTAGTATCTGCTTTGTGGAAAAACCAGACAGATACACCCAGTACTCCTTTGAAGAGAACAAGCTATACTATAAAATAGAGGACATCATGTTTGAGGGTATATGGGTCGTTCAGCAATAGTATGATGGGGGCTACAATCACAGAGCCAGTACCAGTCCTGGATTTGCACAGCAAAGCAAGTGACTAATACGTCTGAAAGGTAGAATTTCAACACTGACAGCATAGAAAGCCTTTAGAGAAATCCTACTTTTGTTGGCTACCAGCTTTGCTAGCTAAGCTGCTAATTTAGCACTCTGCCTGTCCAACCACTCACATGGATATTGAGCTGCACGGCTTCCTCTCGCTGCTCACCCCTCTTTACAAGAGTATGCAGTGATGCTCAGCAAGCCCAGGACACAAGCCCAGAGCACCAGCACTGACATGTTAATAGGACAGTCATGGGCAACTGACCTCCATGGAGCATTTGCAAGGTCCTAAGTTGGACTGAAAAAATGGTGTGTCTCTCTAAAGTCCACTCAACGACTGAAGCAATGAGTGCACACAAAAATTCTGCTCATGAACAACAGAAGAACCTTAGGCCCAATGGACATGGGTTTAATTAGTGTTCGCAGTGCATATATGCACACATGCACACAAATAGCCACACTTGAATTTTACAGCAGTACAAAGAAATAAGGTGGTTTTGTACACATCTGGTGTTCCCTAAATCACCTTTTAGTTCTTGAATACGCCCTTGTAATAGTCACCCAATAGAAATATATGGTCAGCACTAATTATGAGATGCAATAATTATAATTTTTTCCCCTTAAATGTCATTTGATAAATCCTCATTATTTAATACACACACACTATTTCACAATTCTATATCAAAAACCAAAACTACAATGAGAGCAGAAACTATAAACTGACCGAAAGATACAATCACTTTACATTCAGAAATGTATTTCAAACTGAAGAGTGCAATCTGCTTATTTTCCATATATGATCTGGCAAGTCTGACTGTCCGCATCCTGCAGTAAGTCGAAGAATCAGATAATCTGCATCAGCCTGGATTTAACTCAACAATATCAACATATCGTTTTTACCACCTTTGCAAAAACAATCCGTTTCCACCAAGCACATCTCACAATAATAAGCTTTTCAATTTTCCACAGAAAAATGCTTTTCAGGGAAGCAGGAAGGGAAGGAATGAAGAAACACATTACAGTTAGAAATCTATTATTTCAACCTTCCTCACCAAACAAAATCCCTTCAGTGTAGGCAAGTAGGTTTCACAAGTAGTGAAGGAACCTTTCTACGCCTACGCACAAGCAAGAAGACCTTCATCCTGACTGGATCAATAAATGTGACCTGCACATATGATATAATGAAGTATGGCTTTTCCTTATGTTTCTTCTTTATAGGACATAGGAATTACTTAATATCTGGACTTGTTTTTGGAAGAATGTCTAGTTGTAGCCAAATACCTAGTTTTTCCTACATTAAAAAAAAAAAAAGGAACTGAGTGAGATTAGATATATGAAACCTTGGCTTTCTGTTCACACCGGAGAACTGCAGTGAGATATTAACATGATTTTCTCAACTTATGAAATGAAGGAGATGACGTTAACTCTTTCACATAGGCACTTTATCCTCTCAACTGTTTGATAGGCCTTTGAGTTCACCAGATTTAACAAAAACAAAGAAAAGAAGCAATAAAGCATTAGACAGCATGACCACACGTCCTCTGCCTCTCAGTTACAACCCAACAAATCTGTAGCTCAGATTACACTCTCAGTTTTATGTCATTATTTCAGTATTTCTCTAGGTAAGTCTTCCCCAAAAGAAGAGGCTTTAGACCATTTTCTAATGCAATAGACAAGCAGAATTAAAATAAAGATACAAATATTTGAGCTGTCATCATACATCCTGAAACAAAAACAGAGGCAGATAAACATTTCTTTTTGTTTTGCAATTAATTTTGAATAATATCTGATGGGCTTTGACCTGGTAAAGCTTCTACTCCTCCTATTGGTAGATCCCCAAACTCCACAAGCTGAAGAAATGACAAATTTTGCTGTATTTCCAGATGCATTACAGTGTGAGTCACAGTTAAACCATGCTCAGAAGGAAGTGCTCCTTGTAGGTGGTGTGGAAACAGCTAATTTGGTAAAAAGCTGTTACGCTAAAACTATCAACCAACAATTCTATTAGTGTACTATTATATCAGAATTCCTGACATGTTTTGGTGGCATGTAACTTCTGTGAAGGCATCACTTGCTTTGTGAACAGATTATTAACTTTAATTCTTTTTAAAACCCTTAAAACAACATTCAGAAAGTGTATTGTAGAGCCTTTCCATGACACCAGTGTAAAGATCTTTACAGGAGCTGCACAACTAAGAAAACCCAGCTGACCTAGGAGGGGACAAAGCATCGCTATAACCGCTATTCAAATTGGTTATTAATTCATTCCAAAGCATTCCCCAAGCCTGGAGCTGCCATTCCAGAGGTTAGAATGGAATACATGTGAGACACTCATGCCAAGTCACTCAAGCTAACACAGCTTTAGCGTCTTGCTGAAAGACTCTACAGATTCACAACAATAAAATACTTGAGGTTGCTAAAGACTGCTTGAAAGTCCCAGAATAAACCATCTCACTTCACACACGGTTCAAGCACCACTAAAAGCATTCGCTTGTGCTTACTTCTTCCAGTGGAAACCAAAGGCACTCAGCACCCAAAATGTCCTTCCTTTGTTCCCTGAGCCAAAATGCCAAATATGCTTTTTAAAGCTGGCTCGATCTCTGCCCCAAGAAGGGGCCAGCCACTTTGTCTTTTTGTTACAATGCTAACTGCACTGTGGAAACTAAGCTGTGCAGTTGTTTGGGATCCAAAACCATCAAGTCTTACATTATGAAAAAAAGGAAACAAACTCTCCAAGGAGGAGTGACTTCTGACACAAAAATTCCCAGAGCTGCCCTAAGGACTCATCAGTAGAAGAACAGGGAAAATCAGAAAAACAGTAATTTAACAACATTTCTAAAGCACAATGCAACATCATTCCACTCATTTCTGAAAACAATCAAGCTCCAATACCACAGGAAAAGTCCGAGAAGCATCTGCAACAACATTCCGTACCTTCCAGAAGAAAGAGGAGGGTGGCGGAGCAAACTGTATAAAGAGATACTAAGCCTTTGGATCAGCCTCTTTTTGGTTGCCCGTGTATCGTGCGCTCACACTTACCTGACCAAGGGAAGGAAGCGTTGCATATGCCATGGGCTGATTCATCATTCCTTTCTGCTTCATGATGAGCATGCGTTTCTGTTCCTCACTCAGGTGTGCCATCTGAGCTTGTATCTGCGGCTGCTGGGACTGCTGCTGCTGGATGTATGGCATCATGGGGTTTTTGCTGGGATTTGCCATCGGTGGGGTCATCCTCTGACTCAGCTCAGCACTGAAGTGGGTCAGAGGTTTGGTGTTGCCATAAGAAAGCATATTGGGCTGTTTGCTTAAGGAGTTTGTGCCCAGGTTATTTGGCTGCTGACTGATCATATTCATGTGATTTTGAGGGAGGTAGTTATTAATTGTGGTCTTCTGTGGATTGTTTGCCATAGGAGGCACTATTGGATTTTGGTTGTTAAAGGCTTGGGGATACATCATTGGACTATTTGGTTTGTCTGCACTGAAGGGTCCTCCATACGGACTAGATGGAGGGCCCACAGGTGACCAGCTTGAGGGTTGATTTGGATGCTGCTGCTGCTGCTTCTGCTGCATGAGCTTAGCTCTTTGCTGCTGCTGGGCTGCCATTTGCTTGAGCTGTTCAGCTGGAGACAAGTCAGCGCTTGGCATATTCACAGGCCCAGGCCCTGACCCTGCCACAGTTGCTGCTGCTGGATTCATAAGGTAGCCATTTCCAGACCGTGTCTGCGTCTGGCCTGGAGTGTGAGCTTGGCTGGGAGTTTGAGGTGACTGAACAACACAGTTTGCTGGTGAACCGGCAGGGATTGGGGCTGGCGGGGCGCTGGACACAGAAGCTATGCTAGAGGCTGTGGAGACATTTGAAAACGGAGGACCGGAAGAAGAAGGCCTCACCTGGGGAGACTCTAACGGGACATGAGCAAATGGAGAATGAGAGGGATCACTTTTCACGCTTGCACTCTCTTGAGTCTCTGTGGCAGGCCTGGGAAATTCTGGCTCCTTCTTCTCTTCAAAGTCTTCATTGAACAAATCTTGTATATCATCTTCTGGAACGGTGTTCGCTAGTTCGTCAATTAGCTCCTGCCACTCTTGATCGTTCAGGTTAATGTCTGAGAAGAGCTTGTTCTGATTTGAAAGAGATGTTTCAGAAGTGTCTATGCAGCTAGGGTCATCCAAAGGCTCTTGCTTTAGCTCCTTGCTCTGCAGGATGTTGAAACTATCATCTAGCTCATTGCAACCATTAACAGGGAGCTTTATCTCAGAAAGCCCACCGTTTTTACCCAAGTCTTCTAGACCACTACCATGAGTTCCGCTGTTCTGCAGGGGAGCTTTCATGTCAAGCTGGTGAAGAGGAGAAACTGCGGGCAAAGGCAAATTATTGGGCAAGCTGTTGATCGCCTCGATGCCTGGTACATCTTTCCGTATCCGCTTGCTGGTTGGAGAAAAGCTCCCATCACAAACTCCGTTCTGCTGTTCTCCATTGAGAGGTGAACGTGCGCCTTCCAACTTCCTTTTGACCGTCTCTTGAAGCTTAAAGAAAAACAAGAAGAAAAAAAAAAAATTAACCAGTTGCAGATACAAAAAAAGGGCTTATGAGCCTTGTTACAGATACTCCTTATCAAGCCTACCAGTGGCAATAAGTTTTAAAAACTCTGATTAAAAGTTTATTTCTTTCTTATGCCTTGACCAATTTGAGAAGATGTTATAAACCAAACAAACCCACCCCCCAAAAAACCCAAAACCAAAGCTGCCCCTGAATAGGACAGCAGAACTGTAAGACATGTCTGTGCTCTCCAAGCTACCAGAATTTTATGAAGCAAGTTGACTAACTCAACTTTTTGGTACTTAACACAATGATGAGACTTAAACAGTGCCTAACACAGTGAGGAGTCTTAAATTGGACCCAAAAAATGGAACCACTAAAAATTACTATTTACTTCAAAAATAATTTGTTGGAAGTTTCTAGAAGCTTTTTGAAAAATACCTGCAATACAACTGATCAATTACTTGTATTGAAACATGTGTTGTTGACACTAAGTATTTTTTGAGAAAATTCATTAATATAGTTTCATTTGATTAGCCCTCTGTTCTTGGCTACAAAAGATATTGAGAATCAGTTTTAAGTGAGCAAAAACATATATACACCCTAAAAAGTAGAAGGCACTTTGCATGATGTTAACTCAATCAAATAATGAAAAGAAGGAAATAATCTGTGTGCTAGGAGCTAACATAAAAAGATAAGTAACTAGCAGAAATGATAGCAACACAAGTCTCAAGGAAAGCAATTAAATTAGAATATAAGAATGTTATAAAAAAAAAAGTGTATTAATATAACTTTCAATTCAGGTTAAAAGAAGCATAGCAAAGCACTGTAACAACCTACAGTCCTCTCCTATTACACCACATGTTAAGTCCTACACTTATGTACCAGGCTAAAAAAAGCATCCCTCTTCAGCTAGGCAAAAAACAATAGTGGGGAGGGGAGGAAGCAAAGAGGTCACAGCTCTAGCGAACGCCTTCAGGACACACTTGCATCCTTGATACTAGAACAATAGAAGACAAAATACTGAAAGATTTTATCAATTTTTAAAGTATTTTTACTGGTATGAAAGTCCCAGACACACAGCTCCCACCCCTTCCCTAACCTAGAGGTCCTCAACCTTCTTTCTTCCCACAATCCAGATCCCATTTATTTCTCCCATCCCAGAGGGCTAGTTCCCCTTTCATCCCATGTCTAAGACAGGCAAGCAAATCCGTATCTCATCCCTGTTTTAGAGGGAGTGGTTCTGAGAAGGCTGTGCCCTTCTCTTGCCCTTCAGGCCTGCATGGCCTCTTCAGCGTGCAACGCAGAAGAACATGGCTGATGCACGCGTTGCTCTAGTCCCAGCTAAACACACGTAGGACACTAAGGTACATGCTGGTCCTCTGCAGAAATGTGACCTTTATAACAAAGCAGAAAGGCAAGCCTATGAGTCCTTAAGCAGACCATCAACTCCTTGAATTGTATCGGAGCAGAAGAGCTTTTTTTATGCAGGAAAATGATTAACGCTTGGCTGAGAGTGACCAGTGGGTCCCTGTTGGCATATGTGCCTGAGACTTTGCTGCCTGTTCCCCCTGCACAAAGCCAGCGTGTGCCAAGCCTCCCACAGGCTGAAATTCCTTCTTTTGGCTGCTGTGGTGCCGCACAGAGACCGGCTGCTCTGTGACCACAGCCTCTGCCACGCAGACCACTGCTTGGCCAGGCTCCTCCTCCAGTGCAAGATGCCTGCACAGCTCCACAGAGTCTGTCCTTACCCTGAGTCTTTCCCCAGGCCTGGTTTCTGGGGGCCAAGGAACAGCAAGGCCAGTGGTTTGCACTGAGAAGTTCCTCTCCCTGTGCTGTAGGCTGTGATGGGGAACCCACCTGTCAAGAAGGCTCTTGCCCCCACGAGCTCTGCAGATGCCTGGGAATGGGGTCCTGCAAGTGGCAGTAGATGCAGAGGGAAGATGTGTGCACTCTCTTGATTAAAGCCCAGCACAGTCAGGTTAATTGGCCATGGAGCACACCAGGCTGAAGAGCATGGAGCTCCCGAGCAGAGGCATCACCTTTTCATCTCTCTGTGCCACGGCAGCAGCAAGCTCTAACAAGAGGCACTTGCCCAGGCATGGCAATTGCCTCATCTGTGCCAGAAACAGTGATGGGGAAGGTAAGTCAACACCCAGGACTAGTGTGAAGGAGAAAAAAAATCAGACCCCACAGAAAGGCTTACAATATGGCTCTCACCTCTGCTGCTTCCCTCCCCTAAAAACCTATGTTAAGCTGAATACCACCGTATGGTATTACAGCTCCCTGCTGCTTTTTGACTGGTGTAACTGGCACATGGCAGAAGACTACAGCCAAGCTACTAAGCTTGTTTCACTGATATTTATATAACCCTGGTTCAGACCCTGGAGACGAGGAAAGGATGATACAGATGTCGTAATGGCACCACTTTGCAAGTATGGCAGGACAGTTGCTTCCAAGTTTCCTTTCTTCAAAGCAAGAAAAGAAAGAGCACAATCTGGCCTCAAGTGCAGGTGGTCAGTAACACAGTTGATATCATGGCTCATAATAGCATATATAAATGTTGTCCCTAACGGTCCACTCACACAATTTATGGCTGAAATCACCCAGTTCAGCTCCTAAGCCGTCTCACTACAAAGTCACCATCCCTCTTTGCCTTCCATCTCAGAAACACAAGACACCAAATGGCAAGTGACCCAAGACCAAGTTTGATGGGCACGCACACGCAAAAACAGGGTTCGAAGAAATCCCCAAACTTGCAATGGCCCTTTGCCGCGAGTTCATATTGATCAAATCCACACCAAAGGACCTGGTGACAAGCTTCTAGTAATGAAGAAAAGTTTATATAAAGAAGAGATGGGAAAAAAATTTGGCTTAATGACAAGTCAGGGATTAGTGAGAGGGATAATCTGCTGAGAAACACAAGAGAACTGACTCCATACATTTCACTGACTCCATACATTTCACAACAGTTTGAAGGTATTCCTTACAGAACATCGGTAAGAGTGAAACAGTTTCATGTTTCACACCATTTACTAATTTATCCTGAATCCATCACATTATTTGTACACGAATGTTTACCGAAAGAATCAAAACTATCTATTGGCAAATAACCAGCCCTAAAAATATCAGCTCAAAGTTTCATCATGTGCTGAAACTTGGATGTCCCCCTGTACAAACACACAGTGACTCTAGTGAAAGTAAAAGCAGGCCTGGGACATAAATATTAATAATTGTGTCTATCATGCATTACAACAAAACCCAGCTTTAACGTGGTAACTATTTTCCATCAAATATCAAATGTACAGAAATCGTGCCTTGTTGCAAATGAAAACAAAATTAAGCTTGTTCTGAACTTATAGCTCCACATTATTCTCCTTCAGAGGTTTTAGGATTTGGGGTGGTTAACAGGTACTAGAAAAAGCCTAATCTTTTTATTCACTTTGTTTGCTCATTGAACAACTTTAAGTACACAGAAACAGAACGTGAAAGGTTTATTTGAAGGCAACATTCTGGATGCAACCTTTGCAGGTGAGGAAGCACCTTGGCTCTGGCATTTTGGAGGGGTTGGGAGCCATAACAATACATGCATCTCTTCTGTTTGGGGTACAACACAGAAAAATTCTTATCAAATTATTTCAATGAAAATATTCATTTTCATATCTTGATTTCATTCCCAATCACCATGTCAACTATTGGATGTCCTGAATATCACACATTGACCATATACTGGCAAACAGTTTACCACCACCAGGACTCCACAGTGTCTTAGACTAAAATCCCAGGACTTCCCCTTCCCTCTGTAAAAACAATGTCTGAGGTAAAATATTCTCCTTCCTTCTAAGAAGTAGTATAGAGCTTGTGCATATGATTTACAGTATACATCATGAAGATATTAGCAGCAGCTTAGAGATTTATGTCTAGGAGCAGAAGACTCTTGATGCATAAAATAAAAAGGAAAATATTAAAATAAAAAATATATTAAAATAATATAAAACCCTTGACAGTTTCATAGGCCTTTAGCTTTATTCACACAAAATATTTGGCTGATGGACCCGCATTTCACAACAGCTTTCTACCCCAAAGCAGGAGAGAATGAAGCAGGACTCACTATTCTCTATATGCCTTTGGAGAGACTCTAGCTGCAGAGCAGGAAAAGGTCAAACTTTGGCGGGCTGACTTTTTAAATGAATCTCGGTTGGGGGAGAGGCAGGGGGGAACAGAGGCTGTGCACACAAACATGCAGACACACATGGACCCGAATGGTCTAATCAAACTCATCCTGAAATTTTCGGCAGAGCTGCTTGGACGTGCCACGACAGACCCAATACATAAATAAGAGAGTGTTGAGGCTGTCGGCAGGGCTTTCATCTGCGGGGAGAAGATGCTCTGCTTCATCCCACCAGCAGCAATTCATTTTTCAAAAGAAATGAGACCAAGGTGCTGTTGTTATAGCAACAGCCGAGCCACTCGCCGGCCCATCCTCCACCATCACTGCCTTCAGTGGGCGGCTGTTCCAGCCATCCACGGGGAGTGACCACGGCTGTGGCGGTGGCGGCTGAGACCTTTCATTGCTCTTTAAAAAAAAAAGGGGGAAAGCCGAGATGCTAAATTCTCTTTTGCCTGGAGAGGCTGAGCACGATTCGCAGGGTCTAACACAAATCCACTTCCACTCAGTAGCTGGATGATCTGTGAGCCCACAGACAAGGAGGCTGGGGTCACTTTTACAGATGCTTTCATGCACCAGCTACATAGTGGACATGTTGCTGCTGACTTTCCTCTTGTTAAAGCAGCTCTAGCCACTTCAATATGAGGCAAGGGTGACAACTGCGAGAGGTCTGGCGCGCTCGTTCCCCAGCTGTGCTGGGATGCACCTTGCTCCATAGCTACCTTTGCTCCCCGTGGGAAAGCAGAGAAACGAGCCAAAGCCCAAAGTCCAACTTCCTCAGAGAAGATGCACATTTACACAAAACAAGGGCTATCTCAT